AAAATTGTTTCAGCAACCAATCCACTAAACAACCATAATCACATATTCACAACATAACAATTTGTTATAACTTATTTAGTTTTCTCCTTCAAACATGCACGTCCAGTGCATTATGATCAGACAACAATGCCTCTAACCTTTTTCGAGGTCTTACTAAACTAGGTAAATAGTCTATAGTTAGACCATGCACATGGATGTCACGTACATAATAGTAGGCCCCTTAGCAAAGGTATAGTCAAGAGTCTAGTCAAGAAATGGGTGTGAGGCCATGTGACGTATTCGCTCTCAGAAAGAGTGTGTACACATACGCGAATGTTGCTCCACCCTACGTTTCCCCCATATTTCCTATCATCTCCCGACTCTATACCCCAAGTGTATCTCTATATATGACACTTATACTTATCTTGAGAATCCTTTCATTCTCCACTTATAAGATCGTGCTCAGTAAAGCACTTCCAGACTAAGTCCATATTACTCATACCATTGAAATATAGTTTCAACCATTAAGTCTTTAAAACCAACATTATACTTTATGACAATCACAAAAATGCTTATATATACATATCTCGACATATAATCAATATATTTCAACTCAACAAATTACGCCATAATCATTTAGCATATTTTCATAACACTCCACATTTAGTACTCATCATGTACTTTATGTGAAAATAATATAACTATGCAAGTCAAACAACCAAACATGCATATTCTCAGCTATTACTCACAAATATTATACTTCAAACATATGTTTTCACAAAAATTCTTATGTGATAATGCTTTAATGGGCACAAAATAAACACTTTAATAGAATGACAAAATAGAGTTCTCCTTACCTCGAGGTGAGTATTCGGAGAGATTGACAAAGATTTAAGGCCTAGCAATGGATTTTCTCTTGGAGTTGTTTATATTTAACGCCTAAGCTTGAGGAGTAATCAAAGTTTGAAGGAGTTTAATCTGAGAGAAGGAAGTGAGAGTTCAGAGAAGATGAGAATGGAACGTGAGCTTTGGAATGAAATAAAATTTTCATGCTGGAGATCTTTTAAATGCCCCTCAGTCTCATGCACTCTTGCTTGAGTGAAGAACAACTCGCTTGAGCAACGCAATTCTCACCTAAGCGAAATATAGCTCGCTTGACCGAGATCACTAGATAGTGGTCTCACTAATACACTCGCTTAAGCAAGCTTAAGCTTGCTTGAGCGAGATAACTTCTAGAGAGTTGGACATTTTTCCTATGAGTCCTCGCCTAAGCGACTCAACTTGTCTGGGCAAAATCATTGCTCGCCTGAGCAAGATTACCTCTCCCTTAGATAAGATGAAAGTTGGATTGAATTTATCCTATCTCGCTTGAGTGAGATTGCCCTAAAAACATGTAATTCTGGACACTCAGTCTCTCTTAAGCAAGATTTGTCTCGCCTAGGCGAGACCCCCTACACCAGACTTCTACCAAAACACCTATAAATCATTCCAAACATATTCTAACACTATATAATATCAAAGAATTCAGCAATTAATAGATAATTGAAAAAGAGGATATTAAAGGATTACCCAATTTCCCCCTACCTTTTTGTTTTGTTAATAGAAAGGTTAGGTCATTTAATTTAAGATAGAATTATATATGCAAAATGGACTCCTTTTTCTTTTAGTTGAGTAGGGCCCATAATTTCCTATTTATTCTTTGTTGATGACATTGTTTTAGTCGTTAAGGCAAATATGAATTAAGATAGTGTAATTAAAAAGGTCTTATCTAATTTTTGCTCAACTTTTGGTTTAAAAATTAATAATAATAAATCTTCCATTTAATGTGCATAATATTAGTAATTGCTTAGAAATCAATCCCACTTCTCATTTTGGTAATTTTGGTATCCCAATTAGTCGTAATAAACCTTCTAAGCAGGACTTTGTGTTTATCATTGATGGAATTAGAAAAAAGCTCTCTTTGGAGAATGAACTCATTATCTATGACTGGTAGGGTGATCTTAGCTCAGTCTTATCTTATGAGCATTCCATCCTACCTAATGCAATCCATGCTAATTCCTAATTTTGTCTGTAATGAAATCAATAAAATTTGAAGGCAATTTATTTGGGGATCTCTTAGGGGTAGGCAGTGTCACCTAATTGGTTGGGATAAAGTTTGTAAATCTAAGTTGGAAGGGGGGCTAGGTTGTAGAAACTTGACTCTCCTTGACCAGTAAGTATAATTTTGTTCTTGGCAAAAATTCTTGTATGGGTAATAAGAGCAACATCTCCTATCTTTGGAAAAGTATGATATCAGTTTGGCACATTTTCTCTCAACGGCTAGGTTGGGTAGCTAGAGATGGTTTATCAATCACATTTTGGATGGACAATTAGATACCTCATATTATTAAACTATCCAATTTGGCTTTGCATTCTGCTTGATTTAGAGCTGTATATTCCTATAACCCTGTTTGCTGTTCATAATGAATAGGACTGGAATAAACTTGGAGACATCCTTCCTTGCCCCATTTGTAATTCCATTGTGTATATCTCCCCTAATAATTCTGGAGAACATGATTTAGTTTACTGGAATATTACTAATAATGGTGTTTTCTCCATTAAATATGTGTATAAATTGATTTCTTATTATAATTATAATCTAGTTACTCTACTCTTTTTAAATTAATTTAGAATTGAAATGGTTCCCTAAGGTTGTTTTATTTTTTGTGAAAGATTTCTCATAATAAGTTGCTAACTAATGTTGAAAGGAATATGAGAGGTATGTCTAGTTCCTCTCTCTGCTCTAGATGTGAAAATGCCCCTAAAACCATAATTCATGTACTTTATGACTGTTGTTTTGCTCAATAGATCTAAGAGCATTTCATTTATGTTCTAATTGGGTTTATTTCTTCAGCTCTGACATATTTGATTGGTTAGTTTATAATCTATCAAAATATATTAATCATAAATATCCTGATTGGAATTGGTTGTTTGGTATTATTATTTAGAATCTGTGAAATTATAGGAATAATATTGTTTTTCATAATTCTTCAATTTTCTAATTTTGATAATTTTAAAATTGTTGCAAGGGAAAAACTTTGGTGATGTCTAATATTGTTGATAGCCTTTGCTTGATTAGGTGGACTCCTCCTCCTCCGCAACAATTGAAGATTAATATTGATGGCTCTGTTATTTGCAATCATTGTGTAGTTAATTGTGGAGGTTTTATTCGAGATTACAAAGGACATTTAGTTGCTAGTTTCTATAGCAGTTTGGATTTTTGCTCTCCCTTTGCAATTGAGTTATGGGCCATCTATTATAGGGTACAGTTGGTTATTCAAGAAAACATTCCACTCATTTAGATTGAAAGTGATTTTAAAGAAGCTATATTTTTAATTTTAACAATTCAAAATTGTAACCACTCACTTGTATTCTATAATTAAGGACATTAGACTTTCACTTAAAAATGTTAAGTTTGTTAAATTTAGTAATATTTGTAGAGAGACCAATCAAAGTGTTGATAGGTTTGTAAAATTAGGCCTTGAAATGTGTTGTCTTTTTACATGTTTTGATAAGGGTCCCTCTTATATTTGACCTTTGTTAAATGTGAATATTTTAGATTTTTGAACCTTAAGAAGGATTCATAGTTTGTTTGCTCTTAGACATTAGGCCCTAATCTTAGAAAAAAATAATTATATATATATATAATAAAATTATTTTAAACAATAATTTATTTTAAAATTTTTAACTTAACTCTATAATTATGAATGTTATGTATCAAAATGATAAAATTTAATAAAATTAAATAATTTTAAAATTATATTTTTATTGTATAGTATAATTTTTTTAATTAAATATCAATAATTAATATATATTAATAATAATAAATTTAAGAGATGAAACCTTTAAAAATAAACTCTAAATTCAAAAAATATTATAATTATAAAAATAAAAAAATATAAAAATTTATATAAAATAATAATAATAATAAAAAATTAAGCAACACCTACCATGTTCAAAATTTGGGACAATTAATAAAGGTGTAGATAAAAAAATCATCACAACCAGAGAAAGTGTAATTCAACACATTATTTTTAACAAATTTTAATCTAAAATGTATAGATAATGAAATTTAAATTAATAATTTAAATTGAATTATTTACTCAAATTGATTTATCTTTATTAATAAATAATTTATGTTGAATTAGAGCAGCCTTTACAAAATATTTAGGTACATTTACCTTTACCAATGATTTTTTAGGGTTAAATATGTATAGTTTTTAAAACGTGATATCTTTTATTAAATATTTACACACAGAAATAAGAGAATTTACATAAAAAATAATATATAAATTATGAGGATAAATAATTATATTATACAAGAATAATATTTTTAGCAAAATTATATCAATATATAAATTATAGAAATCAATTATACATAAAATATTATACAAGTAATTAAATAATAAATTTGACATACATGTTTAATTAGGTATAAATTTTTTTACAATATTATTTAATCATAAATTATCATATCAATAAGAATTTTTTATTTTTGTAATAATTAATATAAAAATAATATTTAAGTATATTCTAATTAGTTGACAATATAAAATAGTTTATAATAAAAGTGAATAAAATTAAACTCTAAGATAATTATTGATTATTAATAAATTAAATTAATAAATGCTTTTATAAGAAAAGTATATTTTACAAACTCGTATGTGTTATTAATTAACGGGGGATTATTTTACTTTAATCGTGATTTTAAGTTCCCGAAAATTTAGTACGCTAATATTTAAGAGAAAAAGTTTTACTGCCTATTTCTTTTTTAAAAAAAATATATATTTTACAAATTTAAAAATATTCCTTATAGAGATAGATGAAAACTCTAATAATATATTTAGTGAAAAACATAAGATTACTTAAAACATTATAATGAAATATTTTATTATGATATAACATTTTTCAATCCTCCTTTTTAGGTGTCCCCAATTTCCCGTACTTTATATATAAGCTGGTTCTCTAGCAGTTTCCAGTGTATAGGCCTCTGTTCTGTACTGTGACTCTCGAATGTTGCTGTAATTTCTGGTGAGTACTTCATTGATTCTCAATCTTTGTTGTTTACATTACAATTGCTTTTGCCATTTTTGTTAAGGTTCTTCAAAGATCATCGCTGCAGTTTCTGAAGCTTAACGCGTAACATTTTACAGAACCTGCAAAAAATTATTTATTCGAGAAAATTATTTGCTGTTTCATATTAAGTTGCTGTTCATGATTCCGTGAAATCACTTGGATATAATTTACAGTTCTTTGTTCTGCACAATTTTGTTTTATATGTGTTCTCACTTTTAGCTTGGTTTAAATCCTAGGTATCCTTTATTTATGCCTTCTAATTAGACTCTTCGTTTTCCTTGCTTAGGTGGATCAATTTTGTTTTAAGTTTACTCTTTTGCATCCTAATATTTCACTCCCAACAGATGCATAAACGTAATCTTTCTTCCTTTCTTTATTTATTTTATTGAAAAGTAAAGGCTTCCGCAAGAAACGTAGCATAGATCAAATGGACACATTTTTAAAATGGCTAGCAGTGACAGTTATAATCTTTGATCATCATGGTACATTTGGTGACTTTGCAACTTTCTTTTACTTAGCCCACATATTTTGCAATTTTCTGTTTTTCTATTTGATATCCATACTTAAGCAATATATAGTTTGAAGCCAATGTAAATTGATTATCTAACTTGCAGGATTTGGTGAAACAAAAAGTTTCTGCTTTTGTGTAATAGCTATGAAAGTATTTTCTTGTTTTCTATGGTTATGATGAAGGAGCAGGACTGAAGAGTATAAGTTTAAGGGTTTTCTTCTTCATGAAGAGTGTTAGGTCATCCCATTAGTAGTTAGCTATGATGTTAGTGAGGGGCATATAGTAGTTAGTTATAATATATTAGTTAGTTAGTGTTAATTAGTTAGTAATTTGGGATGGTTAGGATTGTAGAAGAAATAAGGCATATTGCTTCTATAAATAAGAGGGAGGAAGAGAGAAAGGTCAGCTTATCAATTGTGAGGTGCAGTCCATCGAAGAACTGTTGAGTATGTGTATTTTATTCTGTAATGTTGGGAGTTTCTTGTATTTCTTAATAAAAATACCAGTTTCTACCAAAGAACAATTTGAAACTCAGATGCTACTCCCATCCTTTATAAATTCTTAGGTTATTTTAGAAGGATAGTTTTCTGAAAGCCACTGTCAATACCCTATTTGAAGTATTCATTTCTTTAAGAATTGAATTACTTTGATTGTTTAATAGAAGCTAACTTTTACATTGGCTTCATCAGGTGAATCTGCACATGGTAGCAAAAAGCCTTTTGAAATTTGTTAAATATGCATTGTTGTAGTTTATGACTAGTTTTCTTTTGCTTTCACTAGTATCACATCGTCAATGCAAAATAAGTACCAAACCTTCATTTGTAAATTTGATGTCTCACAAGGTAGTTAAAATCGGGATTTTACATTAAATTGTAAAGGAGAGTGAAAATCGTAAATCTTAAATTGAATTGTAAGGTTTTATAAAATTCATATATATAATATAAATTCATATTATTCATATAAAATATCATAAATTAGGGGAAAAAAACCTTCAAATCAGTAAAAGCACTTAAACAAAGTAGCACTCATAAATCATAATCTATTCCATAGAATGTAATGCATTGACGTGTCTAAAAAATAGACCAGAACAGAAAAAATGTAAGAACAGCAGCACTAGACTTGAACTCAGAACAGTAGCACACTGCTGGGTGTAGTTGCAGACCAGGCTGCATGCACTAGGAGGACTGTTGAACATTCACAACGACGTTAGGGTTCAAAGCTGCTAAAGGCAAATTGGATTCCATAAAAAGATATATATGAAAGAGGTGTCAACTACGATAGGGTTCAACATTGCGAGGAATTTTCAAAATTGAAGTGAAATCATGAAATCCCACAATTTGAGGGATTTTACAATTTAAATCGGGATTTCACAATGATTTTACTCAACCTGGATTTTTTCCACGATAACTTCCAAAATTGTAAAATTGTAGGATTTTACAATTCAAATCGGGATTTTAGCTACCATGGTCTCATAGATTCAAAATATTCACCTTCTTATACCCGCTGTAGTATTTGCATATATCACATGGCATACTGACTTCATTGTTGTATTTGCAGATAGCCTTTTTATGCAGGTGTGCTTTCAGGGCTTCTCCATCAATTCCTTATAATTTGTAAGCTTTTCTCAGGTGTGAGTCTACATTCATTCCCTGTCTTAATTCCTTGGACCTTCTTATTCAATCTGACTAGTTGTATGACGTGTGCAGCATACAACTAGTTAGATTTGAAATCGCAAATCAGACTCTTCTGCTGGTACGAAGTCATCTAACCAAGGTGAAACAGTCACTTTTGCTGACATTATGGGTGTTTATAAGGCTAAAGAGGAGTTAGAAGAGATTGTGGTAGGCTGGAAATCTTTTATCATTTTCAGCACTTACTATCTATGGCTTGTTTTATAGGCTTTTTATCGTGCTGCTTAACTGTATATTTCATTTTTAGTTCTTCTGGTGATACAGGGTAGAAATATAGAAATAAGCCATCCTGACCTGTAAACCTGGATTTGTAAAAATCAAAAATTAAAGTTTAAAAACTAAATTTGGTTCAAAAACAGGATTTGGCTAAGAAATTGGATTTAACATTGGATTTGGCTAAGAAACCGGATTTGAACCAATACCATATTTAAACCTGGTTTGGTCAAAACGGAACCAATTTTGACAAAAAAGTGGATTGATTTTGAAATCTAATCCATATAATTAGTTTATAAATAGATTTAGCTTGGTTTTATGGTAAACTTATTCATGCAAACCCCTAGCTCCCTCCAACACAAACTCTGAAATGCTTTGCATCGCCCTTCTGCCATTTTAATTCCTAGCATATGCCACATAGTGCAAGGAGAAGATTCTAGAAATGGTTAGCATAGTTGTCAATAGCATGCGATAGCAGCAGTGGGTGCCAGAGTGGCCTTTGGCTGCCACAGATCTGGCATAGTGGAGCGTTTTGCTGTCACTGCTGTATTTGCAGCCCAAAATGCAGCCTTTTGCAGTGCTGTTGCGCTGCTACAATGAAAAATCCCAACTTTCCCTTTTTACCCTCAAAACAAAATAGTTGTTAGGGTTTTTTAAGGGTAAAAGACTTCTCACCTTTCAGAAATAAGCTGACCTTCCCTTTGTGCCCCTAAGATGACACATTTTTTAGGCTTTTTTGAAGGATAAAATAGTCTTCCCAGTTTTCAGAATACATGACCTAACATTCCACCAACAATGACTTCTTTGGCAAAATCCACTTCTCTCTATTCTTCGATTCTGCCGTGCTGCCTCTGTTATGTTCTCTATTTGTCTTCTAAGCAACAGTGGACAGCTAGCAATGGCATCATCTGATTTATTTACTTGTATATTTTGCTCAAGACCTATATCCTTTGTTGATAATTATTCATATGCTTGTCTATGAGTATTGTTTTAGCATTACATATGTAATTATCTACATATGTATGTAGTGTATATCCATATAAAAAAAAAATTTAGAAAGCGATTATCCCACTAAAGCATTTTGAGGGTCATCTATTATGCGTCGCTATCCAAGATTGACAACTACGATGATTAGTTGCTTAATGGGAATTGTTGAGATTTTGTATTTAATTAGCATATATTCTGTTGAGATATTAAAATTTGATATTCTTCTGATTTGTTGTATAATTTCCTTAATGATAGTTTTCTTGAATAGATTGATTCTAATCCCGAAACTCTAAGGATAGATTTTTACATTGGTATATAAATCATGAAATACAACAAATATATTCCCCATTTATTTATTATGTTTATTCTTCTGCTGCTTGCAGACTTTGATCACAAACAAGGGAAGGCCCATGCATAAAATTTGAACACCGTTGAACATTATCTTAATATTTTGAAATATTGGAAACACAATACTTTGGAACATGGATGACAATATTGTTACATTTGACAAATCTTCTGTGCCCTCACTGAACCTTGCTCGAATAATCTGCCATGTGTATGTTCATCTACAACTTATAGTTTTTCTTTTTTTACATATAATTTTTTTATTATTCTAAGATTAAGTTTAAAAAAATTTCTGCTTGATTTTGTTTTCTATTCATACACATATATTAAAAAAAATTAATTCTCATCTTTTCAAGCATACAAGCACCCTTAGCTCCATCATGGACGTGTATGCAGTAAAATTTTGATTTTCAGTTCAAGTTTTGAACATATGTTAATTAAATTCCATAGATATGCTAGTTTTATTTAATTTTTATATTTTTTTTTATGTACCAAAGATTTATTTCTTGTAGTAAGAGAACTGATCAACTGCTCTATTTTATTCCTTTTCATACGAAGACAGATGTCAGAAGCAGTTTTCCCAGTACACATGTCCTCGATGCAATTCACGATATTGTTCCCTCCAATGTTACAAAGTAAGTCTAGTAGTCTAGTTATGTAAGAGTTTGATTCTGGTAGAATTTTTAGTATACTCTAGGAAAAGGAAGAGTGGGCGAGTTAATGTTAAGGCCCAAGTCAGTTTGCTCATAATTAGGGGGCAATTACAAGTGATGGTTGTTATAAAAGTCAAAGTTAGAAGAATTGAGGTATCTTTTGTGAGTGTAAAAGCTTGTGTAGGAGAGTAAAAGCTTGTGTTCTTGTTAATTCTCAGTAATATAATTCAATCTTTTTCTTTCCTTGCTGCACCAGTTCTAACATATTCTTTCTTTGCAAAGCTCTATGTGGGTGACCCTACACCATGTACTTAGTTTTGGATTTTCCATCATGTTATGAAGCAGTAACATGCCAAACTAGGTTTAAATTGTGGTCGCATTCACTGAGTCTTCAGAAACCTTGACGTTGTGTAAAATTGCAAATAATTGCAGCTGCAGCTGCAATTGTGATTGTGATGCGGTTTCAAAGACCCCAATGACCTTGATGTTTCAAATCACTATTTAAAACCTTGATCTTGCGGCCACTATTGTAGTCTTGGATCACAATTTAAAACCTTAACACCAGGACTCAATAGTTGATGGTTTATATGCTTCAAATATTTGGAATTTGGAGTGGAATGTTTATTAAATGAGGGAGTGTGCTTACACCAGTTTAAGTGTTTGTGAATATCTCTTAATGCTACTGAAGTTTAGCATTATTTTTGGACATTCAGAGAATAAATTGTTATTTTGGTTTACCATTGCAATTTTTTTTTCTCTTCTCTTTACATTTGCTGTGTTTAAAAAAATTGAAGAAGATATTATATCAATTTTGGCACTATATTCTGTTTTTAGAAGCCATACTTTGATTAGTGTCTAGGATGCTTTATTTTTATAAGAAAAGTGTCACTACCTTGTTCCTGTGCTAGTATATATGTATCTCCATCTGCATTTACTATGCCTACTTTACTTTGGTGAGTGGTCTGAATATTCTAACAAGGCTTTTATTTTGGCAATTTGTTATTGTATTTATTGGATTTGTATGCTATATTAAGTGGTTGTTGCTGACATGCTTTTTCTACAGATACTCTGAAGCTTGATCCTTGTTTGTTGTAAACTGCTATGAATTTGAACTTCCTTTTGTTTTAATTTTGACAGTCTCATAGTCTTCGTTGCACTGAATCCTTCATGAAAGAAAATGTAGTTCAGGAACTTCAACAAATGCAGCCTGATGAACAAACCAAAAGTAAGATGTTGGACATACTGAAAAGATTTCATTCAGAAGAGGACTTGGATGGCATGGATGAGGATTGTAAGTCATCCATATTTTGCTTTGCTTTCAGATGCTCAAAACTCCAGAGCTGATTCATTGCAGTTTTTCTTGTTTAATATTCATCTTTGCATGAAAGCTTACTCTAGTTTTATATCTTTTCTGAAACTTATTTTTCTATTTCTTGTAGTCATGATATATATACAACAACCTAGATTTATCGCAATGTGTAGTTGGCTATATTGATCAATCAAAGCTTTTGGGCTCCATTCAAAACTAATTTTCAGTGAAACATTTCACTAAATCTTCAAATAGGTCCGAGAAAGATTAACATGAATCTGGGGAAGCTCTTTGGTGCTTGACCCGTTAGCCAGGACATAAATGGGGTTGCTGGTAACTGTAATCAGCCGTATTAGCCTGAAATACTTTCAATTGAAGGTACTTCTAAAGTAGTTGGAAGGGGGTGGACTGAACCTACACCTAATCCAGAACCTGGATATTCTGCAATGGATTTAAGATAACAGCTAATTGTAGTTATGAGCTAATGATTAATTTGGTTAATTAGGGAATGAGGGACCAGAAGAGGGATTCTTTTTCTTAAGGACTAACATGACTGGAGCGTAATATTTTGAGGACAAATTTCAATGTTTGGTCAAAACTATATTAGCAAGGTCATTTTTTAATGATTTCACCCATAATTTTCTAAGTATTTGATCATCCAACTTTCTCCTGGATAAAATTTGTTCCTAATCTTGTGTTTTTCACTTAACTCTTGCTTATAATGGTAAAATATATTAATGGGAAAAAGGTTTAGAGAGTATTTTTGGCAGGAAGTCTCTTATGTGTCCAATAATTTCATAAAAATAACAGAGTAGATGAATAATTCTTGGCTTCCTGTACAAGTGACGTATCACTGAGTTTCTTGAATATAGAGACCAGAAAATATGAATCAGTCAACATCTCTCTGCTTGTTAAAGAAGGGCGATAAACTGCAATGAATTATTGTAATTTTCACAGCCAAGTTGGGATACCATTTACTGTATTTTGTTTTTTTAAAATACAATTACAGAATTTTATGAGGGAAGAATGCATAATAGTTGGGGATGAAAATGAAAAGAATCTTCAATAGTGGAGTCTGGCTGCCTCTTTCTTTATTGATAGAAGATAGAATGAGAAAACTGACTTGGAAGAGAAGAAACAACTGTATTGGGTCGGAATTCTTGTTACTGAAACAAGAACATTGATGGACAGTCGATGGAGCATTGAGTTAATTGGGATTCTACAATTACCGAAGCTCAGCATGGCTAGTCATTTAATACTGTCAACAAATTATCATTCAGAAGTGAACTCATGTTATTTCATGTTGATTAATAAGATTTTTTATAGTAGTTATTAATTCATGAGCTATCCAAGGTACTACCAGAGAAGGGAACTAAAATTCTATTTGCTTATTTTCTTAGCTTCTGCAGATTCCACTTTATCTGAGGAAATAATGAAAAAAAATTTGTCTGGTATGTTCCTATTAATACTTGTTCTTTATTGCGTGTCTTCTAATTGCTCTGCCTGTACCAGTAAAACAGCTTTATGGGCTGATTTGATTTTCATCTTAATACAGGACAAGAAATCAGCTTTGATGATTTATCTCTTGAAGAAAAGAAACGGTTCCACAGAGCTATTGCTTATGGAGAATTGAGCAAGATGATCAAACCATGGGATCCATGGTGGTCAAAGCCTTCTGCTAGAAAAATCCGTCTTAGTAAAGAAGGAACTCGGCTTGTTCAACCACTTCCAGTGCAGGAATCGCTAGATGATATTGGAAGTGATGAATCCAGCGGCATTCCTCTTGGGCCTGAAATCCCACTTCCTCCTCTATGCAAGCTTAGTTCCAAAGAGCCTTCACCCCTTTTAACCGTGCACCTAATTGATATTCTATACAGCTACTGCTTCACTCTCCGTCTCTATAATGGAGATTGGAGGTCAGATGCCTTAGGTTCAGTTATAGTTACATTGAGTGTGTCCTCCGTGTTAGGTCAAGGCATGCAGCCAGAGACTGTACAGGAAGCCCTCTCTCATTCCTTGGAGCAGATATGCTCTCCAGCTTACAGACACATGGGAGGATTGCAATTTGGTTTGAGTGTTATTGATGATGTTATCAGCCTTCTTGATTTGGGAACTCCTGCTTTGGTGTGTGCCCTTTGTGATATGCATCAGTTGATTCAAGAAGCGGGGAAGGAGGCCAAATCAGAGAAGCCGAGAAAGTTGCAGAGGGATGGTATTAGAACTACTATTAAGCTGGCTGAAAGAAAGATATATTTCATCATGTGTTGGGTTCATGAGCAGCCAGAGGAAGCTTGGTCTTCTTTAGCAGCCATTGTGAAAGCAGAAAAGACTTCAGCCATGGAATTTCAATGTAGTAACAAGGCTGAAAAATTGAATAGTAAAGCAAAAACCGAAGGCAAAAGTTTAATCGAAGAGATGTAGTGTGTTTGGAGACATGTCGGAGAACCTGTAATGTGTATCTCAAGTCAAAAGCTACAGAGTAGCATTGAAGTAAACGTATAGGCATTTAAACACATCCAAACACGCTTTACACAGATTACCATGTTCTTTTTAAAGTATTATTGTTGGCTATTTAGCTAATTTTAAGTTCTGAAATTTTGTATATGTGAATATATTATGACTTATTTACTCCAAATGTTTGTAGATATTTCATTATCCTGGATGTCTTTGTTAATTGTTCTGCATTTCAGTCCTTTCTGTTTCATCCTGAAAACTCTTGAATCCAAAGAGGTCTGCATTTGAAGATTCTTTCTACCCCCGCCACAACTTCATCAAGGTTGCACTTTCAACCCACACACTTTAGGCCTCAGTCCCCATGGCTAATCACGAGGTTGCAATCCTCATTCATTTACCCAGCCTTCATATGCTGTGACGCCTAGCCTTGCTTCTTGCCATGGCTGTCACCATCTCACCCTAACCTCAGCAGTGATCTTGCTGAAAAGCTTTTACCCAGTCCTGTTAAACCCGCACCTCTACATTGAAAACAATAAAAGCCACCTTTTAAATCAAATTCATCTTTTGCCTTTACCACCGTTGTTTGAACCTCCTAATATCAACCCCTCTCTTTCCCTATGCTTGAGCTGTCCCAAGACAAAGCCTTTTGGTTTAACTAGGGGGGAAAGTGATAGGGTGGAGATGTTACCTCCGATTACAAATCTCATTGTAGCATGTATAATCATTTTTCTTTGTAACTGTATACCCTTTTAGTAGTCAAGATGAGAGAACATGATAAGTTTATCACTTCCTATTCTATTTTTTGTGTTTGTTGAATTAGTAGGATATAATAACTTATTCTGTTAAGTTATTATTGGTGTTACAATATTTGAATCAGTTATTCGGTCTTGGATACTAAGTTAATGGGTTAATAGTTGAACTAGTGAGCTATTAGTTAAATCAGTAGATAATAAATATTAAATTTTGTTTATATATTGCATGAACCAATTTGGTTCGGTGGTTAAGTGTGCTCCTCTGTAAACAAGATTGTGGGGTTGATTCCTGCTTCTCAGCAATTGATAACTATTTTTCCAAAATATTTCGATACATTCTAAGAAGTTCTACATCACTGGACTTGGTGCTAGATAGTCCCACGCCAACTGGTATATCAGTGTTGGAAAGAGTAAAAGCATCTATAAAAGGGAATTAAGTGTCTCCAAAGCATAATATAGGAAGTCTCCACATTCGATTGTCTTGATTTTGGAGGGAATTGAGTGCTTCGTAAATTGTTGCTTGCTTAGCTATTGTGGTTGTCTTTTAAACTACATGATGCTTGCTCATGGCAAGTGAATAAACTGGAATAATATTGTAAAAGACAAAATGTTTATAGATTCTTGTCCTAAAAGGGGGATATGTTAAGAATTATTAAGATAACTTTTTCTTTCCCTTCTGACTTATACTTCACTTTCTCTTTAATAATTTATACAAAAAAAAAAATGCTCTCTTTAACAATTTGTAAATAAAATACTTTTAAAATTTTTTTCTTAAAAAATAATTTTGAAGGATATATTATTTATAGAAAATATTTTAATCAATTTATAAAATATAATTTTAATTTATTTTATTTTAATTATAATTTAGTAAAAAGAATTAATTTTTAAGTGTAATAGAAAGTTATTATAATTTAATACTACTTTCCAATATCATTTGTATATAGAAATGTTTCTCAATTTTTTATCATTTTAATATTTTTAATATTAAGTCATAAATCAAAGTAAACATTAATTTTAAAAATCTATATTAATTTAGAGAAGAATAATTTTATCATTTAATTTTAATATAATTTTTTTTTTGTCTCAACCGATAGATAAAAAAGTATAATATTATTTATTTTATTATCACAATATTTATAAAAAAATATGATAGTTAAGATTTTATTTTACACTTGTTATAGTCTATTCTTATCAAACTCTTATATTTTATTATTTTAATTCCATCATATTCGAGCTTTAAAGATTTTTTTGAAGTTAGGGTTAAGAATATGATTAAGCTACTCAATCAATGTACTGTAGAAGAAATTTATAATCCAATATTTTGCTGTGCTTACAACAATTAGTAGCCAAGTCCTAGAGAAGTTTTTACAGAAGAAATATATTAGTATAAGAAATAAATAAAACTTTTTTTATATGTTAAAAATAATTTATCTTTTTAAATTTTAGAAAAATTAAATAAAAGAGCTTTTAAAAATTCTAACGTATAAAAGAAAATTTATTCATTTTTTATACTAATTTTTTTTCATATAAAGACTTCTCAAAAAGTTTACTCAAACAAATCTACAGTGTGTTACTGAATAAGCAGTTCAAAAAGTTATAGAAAGAATCTTTGAAAAATAAAATTTAAATAATTTTTTTATCAATTTTAAAAAAAGTATTTAACACATAATATTGATATTGTTTATTAAAAATATTTAATGAGTATTTGATCCAGTGGAATCATGTTTAATAGTTTAAATTTGCAAACTTCATTCACCCAAATATATATTTTACAAAGTAAGAATACAAATTGATCCATTCACTTTTACTTATTTTTTATCCCTGAAAATTTAACTTTGTAGGGAATGAAATTTTGCTTATATTTTTCTTAAATGCAAGGAATGAAATTGTGTATGTTAACATATTTGAGAACTAAATTGTTCAGAAAATTTTTTCTAGGACAAAGGATAAATAAATGCTACTTTTAAGGATAAAATTATATATTTACTATTTTTTGTATGTAGAGAATGTATTTAATAAGAAATTAATTTTTATATTAAAAATGAGAAAATAAATACACATCTTAAAAATCATACGTTCAAATCAAAGATTTATTAAAGTCAAATAATTAATTTTAAAAGAAAGTATAGGTTAATTATGTACTTTTGGTGATAATAATGTTGTTCTTTATTTAAAAAAATGTTAAATAAGATCTACATATCATAAATACAGTAAGATAAATTATTTTTTACATAATTTGGATAAATTTTTATATAAATACTTATAGAAAAAGAAAATTTTGAATAAAATTTCTTTAATAAATTAAAAATAATTTATATTCTTTAAGATTTAATAAGTTAAACGAAGAACTTTTAAAATATAAAAAATCATAAGTTATTTTTATATTATGAAATAAATTTGATTTATTTTACTATTTACTTTTTTACTTCTATAAATATTTATTGAAGAATTTAACTAGACTTAACCTTTATTTTATTTTCTTATATCTTCACACTTTCTCCATTACTCCCTTGTAATTAATTAGGTAGCCAAAAGAAAAGTACATGGAGGTATTTTGAAAAAAAAGTGTAAGAATATGAAGAATAAAGTGTAATTTTATTGTTGACAAATCTTATACTCTTTTAAAAATTGTAAAGAAAGGATAAGAAAGAGAAAAGGACTCAAAAATGACGAACACTAGATAACAAAAAGAACTTTAAGGTAAACACTTGCCATGTTAAAAATAAATACTATTAGAAATTTGTAGAATATTGATGCAAAATACCAACAGGTAAGAATCCGTCGGTAATTACTAAACGTAGTTTTTGATGAGTTTTTGTTAAATTATTTTTAATTATTTATATATAAGATTTGTATTAATAAGAAATTTATTTTTTATCTATAAAGTAAATATACATAAGATATTATTTTAATTATTTCATATTATTGGTATTTCTAAAATAAAATATAAATTTATAATATATAATTATACTCATTGAATTTGATGAATTCGATATTCGTAGTAAAATAATATATTAAAATAAAATTGATATCTTAATTTTTTAATTATATTTATAAATATTACACAATTCTATTATTATTTTAAATCTAACTCTTTTTTCTCTCAAAATACTACCCAAAAACATATCCTAACGTACTAAAAGACACTTAACATTGCTTTAAACAAATGAAAAAGCTTTGTCAGCTACGTACTTCCCTTCATAACTTCTCCCTTAACTTTCTTGTGACATTTTAATATATACATATATATAGAAAAAAAATTATCAAAATATGATATTTTATAAAAAATTATGAAAATATGAAATTTTCAAACACCGCTAATCACGAATCTTGACAGAAATTAATGGCAATTTTTGTATACTTTTATTTGTCATTAGTGTATTTTAATTTTTTTAAAAATATTATCATTAATATTTTATAACTTTTAATTATTTTATCTCTAAATATTTGTATTTGTACTATTAATGATTTTTTAATTTCATATATATTTTAATTATATATATATATATATATATCTTACGTTTTTAGACTTACATACTATGAGAAGATCATGTCCTTATATATATATATATATATATAATATACAATTGAGTACAATTCTGTAGAAAGTTTGATAAGGCGTCAATACTTCATGAAAAGCTTCTTCAATACTTTTTTTATCTCTTTCTATTATCAGAAACTTTATTTTACTTCAAATTTCAAATTAAAAAAATAATAATTACGTCCTAATAAGGTCATTTATTATTTGTCATTTTCTATACTGACATGTTATCTTAGCATGTTGTATTAGAACACATTCTAATAATTTACAGAGAAAAGAAACTTAATGAACAAAAAAAAACATCTACCACCAAATAGTTTTCTGAAAATTTGAAATTAGTTTAATATACTTTGCAATTTTGAAGTTCTTCTGCTTACCATTACAAACTTTTGCATGTGAATAAAAGAAAAGTTAAGCAATAAAGTCAAGTATCATTTGTATTTTGCTTTATTGTGCCTTTATATTTGGTTCTTCCTTTTTCACATTGTTTTAAATCAGTTTGGCATGTCTGATTCCATTACTCTTTCTTTTTACATTTACAAATCTTGTAGATAAATACAGGAAATGTTAACTAATGTAAATTAGGTGTAATTTATATTTTGTTTTCTTATGTATTTATATTTGGTTTACCCTTCTTCACATTATAACTGTATAAATACCTTAAAAAATAAATTTACCTAGCACTAGCAGCAAATCCTTTCAACTCTTTTTTTATTAG